TGAAAGAGGAGAATGAAAAGTTGGCTTAAAACTCAACATTCAGAAAACTAAGATCATAGCATCCAGTCCCATCACTTTATGGCTGCATAATGGGGAAACAATGATGGGGAAACAATGGAAACCATGACAGACTTTATTTTTTGGGCTCCAAAATCACTGCAGATGGTGACTGCAGCCATGAAATTAAAAGACGCTTGCTTCTTGGAAGAAAAGCTATGACCAACCTAAACAGCATATTAAAAAGCAGAGACATTACTTTGCCAACAAAACTCTGTCTAGTCAAAGCTATGGTTTTTCTAGTAGTCATGTATGAATGTGAGAGTTGGACTATAAAGAAAGCTGAGCACTGACGAATTGATGCTTTTGAACTGTGGTGTTGAAGAAGATTCTTGAGAGTCCCTTAAACTGCAAGGAGATCCAACAAGTCAATCCTAAAGGAAATCAGTCCTGAATATTCATTGGAAGGACTGATACTGAAGCTGAAACTCCGATACTTTGGCCACCTGATGCCAAGAACTGACTCACTGGAAAAGATCCTGATGCTGGGAAAGATTGAAGGTGGGAGGAGAAGGAGAGGACAGAGGATGAGATGGTTGGATGGCATCACTGCCTCTAAATGAGTTTGAGCAAGCTCCTGGAGCTGGTGATAGACAAGGAAGCCTGTATGCTGCAGTCCATGGGGTTGCAAAGAGTCAGACATGACTGAGCAACTGAACTGAACTGAATATCCACTTTTTAAAAGCTTCTTTTCCCACATAGGCCATTACAGAATATTGAGTAGAGTTCTCTGTGCTATACAGCAGGTCCTCATTAGTTACATATATTTTATATACAGTGGTGTCTATATGAGGCTTCCCAGGTGGCACTAGTGGTAAAGAACCTGCATCCCAACACAGGAGACCTAAGAGACATGGGTTTGATTTGAGACATGGGTTCGATTCCTGGGTCAGGAAGATTCCCTGGGGAAGGGCATGGCAATGCCCACTCTAGTATTCTTTCCCGGAAAATCCCATGGACAGAGGAGCCTGGCAGGCTACAGTCTATAGGGTCTCCAGAGTTGGACAAGACAGAAGCAATTTAACACACATGCACGCATGTGTGTATATGTTAATCCCAATCTCCCAATTTATCACTTCCCCCTTAGATCTTATTTTTTCATGTGTTCATAAAAGGGCACTATATTGCTAAATTATAATTTTTAAAATATTTTCATAACTCTGCATATTATGTGCATGTTAAGTAGATTCAGTCGTATCCGACTCTTTGCGGACTCTATGAACTGTAACCCACCAGGCTCCTCTGAGCATGGGATTCTCCAGGCATGAGTACTAGAATGGATTGCCATTGCCTTCTCCGGGGGATCTTCCTGACCCAGGGATCGAACCTGTCTCTTGCACTGCAAGTGGATTCTTTACCACTGAGCCACGGGGGAAGCCCCTTGGTAACTCTCTATCAGTATAATGATTTCCTTTGTACTTTGACAAATTGCATTTTATGAACTTCATATTATTCAGAGAAGGAGCTCATAGGCTTCATTAAACTGTAAAAGGACTGTGTCAGATTCTGGAAGCTTTATCACATCTTCCAGTCTTTTTGGTCGTTGGGTCACCCCCTACATTTGTTTTATATCTGTTATCAGTAGCAACATAGCACTTAAAACCAAAAGGGCCTGTGTGCTTGGCTTCAGGGGTGAAATGAAGGCTTTCTCAAGAAGACTGCACACCATTGCAGTCATACTTGGTGGGAGAGAGGGTTGAAGAACCCCAAGGGAGCACATTTATGACACTTGCCCTTCTTCTAGAAGATCCTCTTAACATTCAGAAAATTTTGATTAAAAATGCCAGTGCCAGACTTCCCTGGTGGCACAGTGGATAAAAATCTGCCTGCCAATGCAGGGGACTTGGGTTTGATCCCTGCACCAGGAAGATTCTACATGCTGCGGAGCAACTAAGCCCATGTGCCACAACTACTGAGTCTGTCGCTCTAGAGCCCATGAACTGCAACTGCTGAGCCGGTGGGCCACAACTCCTGAAGCCCGAGAGCCTGGAGCCTGCACTCTGCCCTGGGAGAAGCCACCACAAAGAGAAGCCCATGCACTGCAACGAAGAGTAGCCCCCACTCTTCACAACCAGAGAAAGCCCCTGCAAAGCTTTGATTCACAAAGAGTTGGAAGGCATTTGAGAAGGCATTTTGAAAATGAATACCCCTCCTTTCATACCCATGACAAGATTCCTGGGATTCTGAAGTCTGTACGTAGGTAAAAGTTAGTAACTGAGACTCTACAGAGAAAATGGAAGCTCATACTTTCAGGCAGTCTGTAAAAACTCTGTAATCTTGATGGATGTGTAGAGTGATAGATTATGTTAATAAACAAAAATGCAGGTTACAAAGTAGCATATTTTATTATTTAGAAAAGGGGGAGTGAGAAGGCAGGGCAGAGAAAAACTCTGGAAAATGTGTATCCAAATGTTAATAGTGCTTAATTCTGAGTATCTTTATGGGAGATTTTCATAATTTCATTCCTTTTTTGTATCTTTTTCAATGATCAATGCATATTACTTTTGTTAAAAACCAACCAACCAACCAAGGCAACAAGGCTGTTTTCATAAGAATCAAAATGTTAAACAACTCTTATTTTACTTATTTAGTTGGAACTCTGCAGTACTACTTAGCTAGCTTCACACCTCTTGGGGACATAAAAAAGAGGGGAATGCAGAGTGGAAACATTTAATTCTTTACCAAAAAAATCTAAAATGTTATAATAAAACCATGGACTTTATATAAGGATCAAATTAGGTCTCCGGTATTCCTGGTGACCCAGGCAGCGCTGGTGCACAGCAGGCGCTGGATCAAGTTCCCACGAACCTTCTTCCTTCCTGTTACCAGTTTATTTCCGTCTCAGAGCCCCAGTGGAGTGCTGGGGGGTGGGAGTGGGAACGGGGCTGCTGGGGGTTGGGTTCTTCCAGATCTACATACTTCCCCCTTCTCCAAGTTAAAACCATTTATTTCTTCCTCCAATTCTTCTTCCTTTTCTACTTTTTCATTTATCTTTGGCTGCCCTGGGTCTTCGCTGCTTCAAGTGGGCTTTCGTGCAGAGAGCAGGGGCTATTCTTCGTTGCGGTGTGCGGACTTCTTATTGCAGTGGATTCTCTCCTGGAGCAGAGGCTCTAAGACGCACAGGTTCCAGCAGTTGTGGCTTTCCGCTCCGGAGTTGAGGTTCCTGGTCTCTAGAACACATATGTTCAGTGGTGGTTGTGGCCCAGGGGCTTAGTTGCTCTGAGGCATGTGGGATCTTCCCAGACCAGGGATCGAAACTGTGTCCCCTGCATTGGCAGGAGGACTTTTATCCACCATGCCACCAGGGAAGCCCCTTCTCCCTTTACTAATGCATCAATTATTCTAGACCTCCTTCCCGGGGCACTCTCTCAGCTGTTTCAAATTCTTTGAGAAAAAAAAAAAAAGTACTGGGTTTTCCAGATAGCATTAGTGGTAAAGAACCCGCTGGCCAGTGCAGGAGACATGAGATGAGGGCTTGATCCCTGGGTCGGGAAGGTCCCTTGGAGGAGAGCACGGCAACCCACTTCAGTATTCATGCCTGGAGAATCCCATGGACAGAGGAGCCTAGTGGACTACTGTCCACTAGGTCACAAAGAGACACTACTGAAGCAGCTGAGCATGCACACATAGAAAATGAGTATTTTGAAAACTGTAGCTGTCCCTCCAGAGCTGAAGCACACACCCACTTTTTCAGTTATCCCTTGTGGCATATGAAGCCACCCCCAAACCTAGGGACATCCCTGCAGACAGAAGTGGGGGTAAAGGGATATTGGGTGGAGAGGAGGCAGGAAATGCTGCGTGGGTTGCTCTTCCATTTATTGTTCATGATTCTGTGGGTCAGAAATTCAAGGACAGCCTATCTCTTCTCCAGGTTGTGTAAGCTAGGCCTGCTTGACTAGGACGAGGAACGCCCCAGGTGGAGTCCTGGTCCTGGCTGGTGGTTAGGATACCATCTTCTCCACGTGGCCATTCTCCCTTCGAACATTTTCTCTTTATTCAGTAAGTTAGCCTAGCCTAAGCAACTTCTGCCGGGTGGCTGATTTCCAAGAGAGTAAAACTGGGAAATTCAAAGGCTTCTTAAAACCCAGGCATGAAATCCCATAGCACCACCCAGATTCCTACTGGTCAGAGCGAGTCATGAGTCATAGGGCCAGCCCAGAATCAAGGGTTGGAGGAATTAAACTTCACATCTCTTGGTGCAGGAATGGCAGTCACTGGGAAAGGGTATGCAGAATGGGAGGGGTTTTGTGACCATCTTTAGAAACAAGCTACTCAACATAGCAGTTTTTTAAGAGCTTAAAAACTATGGTAACTAGTGTAATGAAAATAATGATGTAGTCACCAGTCAGAACGGATAATTATTTTTTCTAATCTGTCTGACACTTTCAGTTTCTGATTCAGCCCCTGTCTGCCTCTCATCTCCACTTTACATCACATTAGGCCAAGAAATAAGTGCATATTTATGCACTTCTTTCAAGCAGCATACGTGAAGGAAGTCCTCACTGTCACGTTTTGCCGGTATTCCAGCATGTAGCTGTTCCCTCTTAATCTCCATCCTGAGCCTGTAGTTCACAAGAGGACCACCTGCAGTTCTTCCACCTCTTGTTCCTTACTCTTCCTAGAGGATTTCATCCATTCTCCTGGTTTTGACTGCCACCTACACACTGAAGACAACCAAATTTTAATTTCCAGCCCAGATCCTTCTCTTCTGGGATCCAGACCTGAAATTCCAACTGCCTCCTGGATATCCCTGTTTGGATGTCCCACGGGTAACTTCAGTTTTACACATCCTAAATCAAATTTGGCATTTTCTTCCTCCCCGCTCAAACTTACTACCTCTCTGGAGCCCCTTTCTTGGGCAAAAATGACACATTTTTGCCCTGTTTCCTCCAGTGAATCAAGCCCAAAACTCAGCAGCCCTGCTCCACACCTCCCTCTTCTTCATGCCCACATCCAATCAATTACCAAATCCTCCTGGTTCTTGGGATCTCTATTCCAGCCTTTCCACGCCTGCCACTGTCAAATTTGCTGCCTCTGCGGCTACAAGACTTCTCACTGGTGTTAGACCCCAGGCTCTCGGATCCAGCATCCAAACTGGGCCAGAAAGAATTTTCTATACTATTGTCACGCGAGTGTATGCTCCTCGGTTCTTTGTCTCGTCACAACAAAAATTTGGAGTGACGGACATTAAAGCCCCCTGGCGGGTCACAGCTCTCGGAGGACAGACCGTGTTATGGCTCTCAGGTCTTGAACAGACCGTGTTATAGCTCTTAAATAAATCAGCGTTACTGCTCAGTGTTACAGCTCTATTTATTTAGATAATAGCAGGAAAATCCATCTTCGAGGCATGAAGGCATGTCGACCCAAAGACATGAAGAGAAGATCTCATCGCGCGGGGGAGAGAGAGAAAAGGGGGAGAAGAGGGCTTTGGCTCCTCTTTTTATATGTTTCTCAGTCCCTGGGCCTGTCTTATGTAAATTGGGCTTAGGCAGGAGCGTTGTTTGTTTTACCTGAGGTTCTCACTCCGGTCCTGGACCTTCCTTTGTTCTATTTTCGCGGGCTTCCCCTTCCAGGTCTTTTAGCCACCGCCATTTTGGACTCTTTTTCCCTGTTCTACCTACCTAACACTATCATTGCTAAAACCTGTCAGTAGGGCCCCACTGTCCTCAATATAAAAGTTCCACATCTACATTCCTTAGCAGGGTACACAACGGCCCTTGATGTTTGGGGCTGCTTCCCTTAATATCCCGAACGCCTCATCCTAACTCTCAAATTTGTGAGCGGACAATTCAGAGCATCCTGAATCCCCACCGCTCTCTCTACTCCCCACCTCTCCTCTCCTCCAACTTAGAAGCCAACCAGAAGAGCTTTCCCTCACCCCTTCCTTCCTCACCTACCTAGGACACAGTGCACACCCTCTACTTAGCGTTCATCACACTACAGTCCTGGCTGGCTGGCTCATTTATTTCCTTCTTTCACTGTACTAGAAGCTCCTGCAATACAGGAGCTGTGTCTTTTTTTATGGTTGTTCCTCAGTGTTCAGCTAGTGCCTGGCATATGGTGGGGCAATGAATGAATGGTGACTGTAAGGAGCAAAGAGAAGACGGCTGGTGGGGACAATGTGTTTTAATATCCATAAAACTGAATTGAGGGATCTTTACATGTCAGCCACCTGCCCCACACCTTCCTTCACAGGTCCAACTGAAGGAGAAATCAGCACCATTGGCAGGAGGGTGACCAGCATTTAACTGAAGGACTGCTTACTATGGCTCAGGACTCTCTTTTACTCATGCCTAAGATGACAGTTTTCCATGCCTGCTGCTGTAATGATGCGAGTTAAGGGAAAGAATCAGAAGGGTCCATATTTCTGCCTAGGCAGTTGTCCACATTCTGCCTATAACCTCAGTGAATCTTCACAGACAACCTACAATTTTATTTCCTCCATTAAAGAACCGTGACTACCCAAAGTGTCTGCACTGGACCACAAAGATGATTATAACATGGCCACCATCTTGAAGGAGCTTTTATTTACATATACTTGGGGCTTCCCTGCTGGCTCAGACGGTAAAGAATCTGCCTGCAATGCGGGAGACCTGGGTTCAGTCCCTGGGTCAGGAAGGTCCCCTGGAGAAGGGAATGGCTACCCACTCCAGCATTCCTGCCTGGAGAATTCCAAGGACAGAGGAGCCTGGCAGGCTACAGTCCATGGGGTCACAAACAGTTGGACACAACTGAGTGACTAACACACACACACACAGTCTACTTGTCTTTATCCTCCCATCCAAGCCTTTGGAGAGCAGGGACATGGCCTGTCTTATTCATTGCTGTTGTCCCAGTGAATACAACACATAGTAGGTGCTCAACAAATATCTGTTGAATGCAGTGGATAAACAAACAATACAATGCTTATTGAATGAGGATGCGACCACAGGCAAAGGTATATCTGGGTGGGAGAGAAGACTGGGAAGGTGGGGAAAGTTGGGGACAGGATGGAATAGCCTTTTATCTCCTAGGCAATAGGAGCAAAGGATCATTTGTTAAATAGTATCATGATTGGATCATGACTTTTGAAAAATCCACTCTAGTTTCAGTGTGGAGAGTTTGCCACTGGGGTGCCAGCGGGGCTGGGGTGGGGGTTGTGTGAGGGGAGTGCAGGTTGTTTAAACCAAGCAAGCACTGATGACAAACTGACACAGAGTGACATTTGAGGGGTACAAGCGGAAAGTGAGGGATGCGAGACATTTCTGAGGCAAAACTGCTCAGAACTGGGAACCAACTGAGGAAGACAGTGAAGGCTGGATGGGAGATGAGAAGCCCATATGGGAAGGAGCAAAACAAGGTTCCTTTCAGCCTGAGGTGCCTGGGCAACATCTTTCTCTGAATCTCTAGGAATGGTGCCACCACCACACTGCTCCTCCTACCCCTTTTCTTTCCTGTTTTGAATCACTCCCACAAGCCAGAAATGCTCCCTGCTCCTCAGCATGCAGGAGAACCACGCCAGCAGGCCCCACTTTCCTGAGGAAGGGACCGAGGAACCTGGAGGGCCGGCTGTGGCCTCCCCGGGGGGAGCTCCCTGACAGGAAGGCAGGCTGGGAACAGACAGGAGCTTCCTCTGCTGCAGCAGGTGCCCAGGGCCAGCTGCTCCAATATCCCCCAGGCTCACATCAACAGGATGGGACAGCCCAGGCGGAAGGAAGCCCGCAGGGAGGGACACCCGCCGCTAAAGACAGAAGCCGGGGCAGGGGATGAAGGGGAGACAGGAAGAGCTGCCTGAGCTGCTGAGCTGGCGCCCCTCCAGCAGATTCAGGAGAGGCAGTGACAGGCGGCCATTCAGTCCTCCTTCCCTCTCTCAGTGGGCGTCTCTAGCCCTGGTTGATCCTATTATTATTACTACTACTGTTGTTGGCTAGCCTGGGCCTGTTTCTAAAATATTTAATTCATTGATTTTCCTTTTTTTTTTTCTTTCTGGCCATGCCTGGAGGCTTGTGGGATCTCAGTTCCCCAACCAGGGGTTGAACCCAGGCTATGGCAGTGAAAGTACCCAGTCCAAACCACTGAACCGCCAAGGGATTCCCTAGTTTATTCCTTTTCTATACTCATTTTGAGATTGTTGGGAAAGAAAAGACACTTACATCATCAGCCTTTCAGTTACACGGAGAAGTGAGGCAGCTGGAGGGAAGGGCAGTGCTTTCTGCCCCCTGTTAGCCAGTCCCAAGGAGTGGCTTTAAGTTTGCTTTAAGCTGCGCTATCACCTCTTTTCCAACAATAGCTGTGTGTACAGGGCACCAAATGGCTAAAAGGGAGCCGGCAAGGAGCCAGAGCAGAACCGTAGGCTTGCAATCCGGAGGCCCCAGACCGCCTCTGACCTGGTTTGGGATGGGGCTTACGGAGGTGTGGCTGGGGCTTTCGCGGGACCGACAGCAAGGGGTTTCGTGACTTCGATTTGGCGAGCATTCCCCCCGCAACCCACTCCCAGGCGTGCCCAGGCTGGCGCCTCGTGACCCTAGAAGACCCCGCCCCCCCCCCCCCCCCGCCACCAGCAGTTTCCCAGCAGGGCGTTTCCGGAGGCCGTGGCCCAGGGTAGGTGTGGGGGTAGGGTCTACCTTTGAAACAGCTTGTAGACTGTAATTTAAACTTTACACCGAGCTCAAAACTAGGTTCTGCAACTGAGTCGGCTCCAGAGAAAGATTAAAAAAAAAAAAAACTCCGGCCTATGGCTCCCCATCACCCCCACTGGTCTAGTTTTCGGGGCTTCCTGCAGTCCCCACACCATTCTCTCCACAGCCCTGGAGGAAGGATGGGCGGGGCGGACGGGGGCGGGCAACGCCGCCGGCAGTGCAGATGGAGAGGGCGAGCCAGCGCCTGTGGCCCGGGCGTGGGCGGGGGGCCGCAGGAGCAGGTGTCCGCTCGGTGGCAGGATTCCCTTCCCCTCGCCTCCCTTCCCTGGTGCTACCCACGGTTCAGCGAGGCAAAAACCCAGCAAATGCTCCAGAAATGCAGCTCGGTTGGTCACCAGGCTCTCCCTTCTCGCCAGACGCGCAAGAGGACGGGGCGCTTCCAAATGCAAATCTCTTGGCTCTGGACCCTTGGCTTGCAGCCGCCGCCTCCCCCGCCTGGCCACCCGGCGTCCCGCCCACCCCGCGGCGGCGAAGCCCGAGATGGGACCTCGCCCGCGGATGGGGAATGGGCGGAGCGGGCATCCCTCCCCATCTCCCACGTGGGCCCGGCTCTCCGCAGAGAGCCTGGGCGCGCCGCGGCGGCCGCGCCTCCGGGCTGGGCCCCCGTTCCTGGCGCCGCCCCCACCCCCGGGCCAGGGAAAGGGACTGCAGGCCGGGGAGGGGGGTGGGGGTGGGTGAGGGGTAAGGGCCCTGTCCACAGAGTCAGGTGGTGGCGGGAGTTCCCTCGGGCTGGGCCCGGGGAAACGCGCTGCCGGGGGATTGTGTACACGCTCCACTGACACAAGCTTCACGCTGCCGGGCAGCCGCTGATCACGCGTGGCCCCGCGAGCCCATTGGCCGACGGCTCACACACCTTTGTCGCTGATTGGCCGGCCTCAGGCTCCGCCCCCACCCCCGCCCGCGGCTCGGGGCAGGCGGAGCGGCTACCTGAATGGGGAGGGGGGCAGACGGCGTGGAGCGCGGCGGCGGCGGGAGCGGCGTCGAGTGTCTCTGGGCGCCCGTCTGTGGCCAGGCAGCCAAGGACAGCCTTGCAGCCAGTCAGCTCGTCACCGGCGGCCGGGCAGCCAACCATGCTCAACTTCGGCGGCGCTTCTCTCCAGCAGGCTACGGTAAGTCACCTGGGGATGCCCCAAACCCTTCTCTTGCCTCGCTGCGTCCGGGGAGACCCCCGAGCCCCTGACATCAGCCTCGCCTGAGGACGGAGGTTGCAGGGGAGTCGTGGAAGAGGAAGAGGGGCTTCCCGCCTGCAGACTGGGCATTGGTGAGGGCGTGTGTGTAGCGGAGGGGGTGGTCTGGACAAGCAGGCTGGGAGCTAGAGACGAAGTGAGAGAGGGTCTCGCTCGAGGTGTAAGGAGGGGAAGGGGGCAGCTCCGCTGGGAGACTGGAAGCAGGTGAGGGGGGGAGATGGCCGGAGGGGCGGGAAGAGTGAGGAGACGGTGTCTGGCTGCCCAGTCAGCGAGAATAGGAGGCGTGGAAGTACAGGAAGGGGGGGACGAGGGGGCTACCCTGCACCTGGCGCCGGGGGGGGGGGGTGGGGGAGAGATGCCTCCGTCAGGATAAGGAATGCGCCCCAGGCTGGGAGGGGGCTGCTTTCGAGCATGTGAGGGGTGGGGAATCCACCGGAGAGGAGAGGGGGACTCCCCATCTCGGGGGGTCTCGAACGGAGGCTTGCAGGACTGGGGCTACCCAGCAGACAGCGGGGGGCGGGGGGCTCTGGGGAGGGGTACCCGGCGTGGATGCAAGGGGATAGCACGGGGTTGGGGAGTTGACCCCACCCCAGACGTCTGGAGGGGACTCCCTTATCTCCGGAACAAGCAGGCAGGTGGCCTCCTCCGGAGGACGCCTTGGCGGAGGAGGGGGCTGGGAGCCGCCTAGGCGGCAGTAGATGGAAGGGGAGGGAAGCGGGACCCTAGCATCGGGGTGGGGAAGGTGGGCGGGGGAAGCCGGGGCTGCGAGACGCGGGGGCCGCTCGCCGAGGCGGCAGCCGCCGGCCGTGGGGCCGCGCGCCTGGAGCCGGGCCTGTTGGGGGCTGCACGTCTGGGAACTTGTGGAGATGCTGGGCTCGGCGCGGGGGTGGTGGGGGGGCCGGAGCTGCCGGAAACCGCGGGGACGCGGGGGCGCCGCGTCTTTGGGGCGAGTCGGGGTGGTCTGAGATCCCGCGGGCGGCGTGGGCGGGAAGCGCCGAGGGCTCGGCCGGGTCCCCGGGGGCTGCGGCCGGAGGAGGGCGGGGGCCGGGTTTCCGCGGGGACCTGGCTCCTCCTCCGGCAGCTGAGGCGGAGGCTTGGGGGGTGGGCCGGGAACGGATGCGCCCGGGGAGCTTCTCGTCCCCGAGTGACCCATCTCGGGCCTCCGCCAGGGCGGGAGCGAGGCCCGGCCCCGCTGTCGGTTCCTAAGGGAACGGCGGGGAGCTGGAAGGGGCGGGCGCGCCGGGAGCCGGGCGCCTGCGGCCCCGCCCCTCCCCGCAGGCCCGGGCGCGCACGGCCGGGCGGTTGGCGGCGGCGCCCGCGGCCCCTCCCCCGGGCCGTCGCCAGGGCGGGGGCCCCGCGGGCTCAGGAAGTAGGTGAAAGGTGACGGCGCGGCAATTCCCAGTTCACGTTTCCTGCGCCGCCCCGAGCAGCCGCTGATCACGCTTTGTTCACATGCCTCGCCCCCCCAACTCCTCCTCCGCGCCCCCGCCCTCCGCCGCCCAGCGAATCCCAGCCCAGGCCGCCCGGCCGGCTGGCCAATGACGGGGGTAGGGACGCGGGGACGTGCGAGCGGGCGAGGAATGTTCCCAGTGACTCACCCGCGAGCCTCATTGAGGTTAGGGCGGCCCCATCCTTCTGTCCCCGCCAGCGAGGATCTCCCCCGCCGCCCGCCCCCGCCCCTTGTCTGCCTCCCCCCGGCCCACGCCCGCGCCTCCGCCCGCGCTTCCCTTTCCTGCCTCCCTCGCGCCCCACTCCCTTTCCTCTCCCCTCCCGGCTTCTCTTCCTGCCCTTCCTAGCGCTCACTCGCCTTCCCTCCTGCCTAGCCTTTTCTCTTTTTTTTTCCTTTTGCACTGAGGCTTTTACACATACATGCGCTGTCCGTTGCAGCTTACGTAAAAGGCGCGCGATTATGCAATTACATTGTTAGCTATATTTCAAGAGCAGTAATAGCATCTTAAAGGTTTCTACACGAAGGGTTTTTAAACAAGAGTTGAGAACAATTCCTAGCATCGTAAAGAATATTTTTCGGTGTTTTTACACAATCTCTACTTAAACCAAAAAATGGGATCACGTTAATGGAAAATTGAAGAGATGGAAGGTGGTAACCATTTTAGTACAGTTTAAGCAACTTAAGTATGAAACATTAAATATCTGATGGGAGGAGCTGTTCAAATAAATACAAAGCATGTGCTGTTATTTTTATCATGGAGCAGTTCTTTAAACAGTTAAAATAAGATTCTATTTTGACTTGCAGATTCCTTAGAGAGTTTTTTTTTGCAAATTTTGGTCAAACATTAAATTTTCTGATTATCTTTTGTGCTACTTGCATCAGCCGGTCATAGACTCCTGTTGCAGTTGGCTACTCTGGGAAGAACATAAAATGTTTTTCTTCTTCCAAGCCAAGCTGTTCTCTTTTGGATGACAAGTGCATTGATACCTTTAACCTTAGGTCCCCTTGATAGTAATAAGTTCCTTGCAAGGTTGTCCATATTCAAGCCTAAGTTTGAGAGGAAGAATCGGGAAGATTTTATCACTACTACTTCATAGTAGGGATGAGAAGAATAAGTTTTATATTGAAAAGCTGTGCAGATTGTTTAAACACACACACACACACACATACACACATTACTCTGAGTGTCATGTGGATGACAACAGTAGCTTATAACATGAGTCTTGTGTTTATAGGAGGAAAGAATGGAAATGATCTGTGAAAGATCAAAAGAGAGTGTGTATTCCTGGAACAAAACTGCAGAGAAAAGTGACTTTGAAGCTGTAGAAGCGCTGATGTCAATGAGCTGCAGTTGGAAGTCTGATTTTAAGAAATACATTGAAAACAGACCCGTCACTCCAGTGTCTGATACGTCAGAGGAAGAGAATCTGCTTCCTGGTACACCTGATTTTCATACCGCAATCCCAGCATTTGTAAGTATTGTTGTTTCAAAGATGAATGTAAATGATAATGCTTCTTAGAGTTTATATCGTGGACTCGACCGTTCTTCACGCTGTTGCCTGTTTCTATTCTCCGTAGTGTTTGACTCCACCTTACAGTCCCTCTGACTTTGAACCTTCTCAAGTGTCAAATCTGATGGCACCAGCGCCACCTACTGGACACTTCAAATCATTGTCAGATACTGCCAAGCCTCACATTGCTGCTGTACCTTTCAAAGAGGAGAAGAACCCTGTACCTGCCCCCAAACTCCCCAAGGCTCAGGCAACCAGTGTGATTCGCCATACAGCTGATGCCCAGCTGTGTAACCACCGATCTTGCCCCGTGAAAGCAGCCAGCATCCTCAACTATCAGGACAATTCATTTCGGAGAAGAACCCACCTAAACCCTGAGGCTGCAAGAAAAAACATACCTTGTGCCGCTGTGTCACCAAACAGGTCCAAACGTGAGAGAGACACAGAGGCAGATGTCGAAGAGAAACCAAGCCCCGCTGCACTTTATGACTTTTCTGTGCCTTCCTCGGAGACTGTCATCTGCCGACCTCAGCCGGCCCCCGCGTCCCCACAGCAGAAGTCGGTCTTAGTCTCTCCACCCGCAGTGTCCTCAGCGGGAGTACCCCCTATGCCGGTCATCTGCCAGATGGTTCCCCTCCCTGCAAACAACCCCGTCGTGACGACCGTCGTCCCCAGCACGCCCCCCAGTCAGCCGCCAGCTGTCTGCCCACCTGTCGTATTCATGGGCACTCAGGTGCCCAAGGGCGCCGTCATGTTCGTTGTACCCCAGCCCGTGGTTCAGAACCCAAAGCCTCCGGTGGTGAGCCCAAATGGCACCAGACTCTCCCCCATTGCCCCTGCTCCTGGGTTCTCCCCTTCCTCAGCGAAAGTCACTCCTCAGATTGACTCATCCAGGATAAGAAGTCACATCTGTAGCCACCCAGGGTGCGGCAAGACCTACTTTAAAAGTTCTCATCTGAAGGCCCACATGAGAACGCATACAGGTACCAGCCGTTCTTACGTATGTCTGAGAAATTAGGGTGTTTTTTTTGATAGTGACCCCAGATGTAAACCAGGCATGTTAAGAAAGAACTGGCCTTATTAGCCAATTCAATGGGTGGTATTCACCAGTCCACAGTCTTCTAAGAGATTTCATTAAGGTGTTTTTGTTTTAATTTTTCAAATGATGATTCTTTTTAGTGTATTTAAGCTTTAAATATAATTTAATACATAAAGGACCATGACTTAATAAATGCATAGTAGTAAAGATAGGACTTTTTTTTGTTTCAGGAGAAAAACCTTTTAGCTGTAGCTGGAAAGGTTGTGAAAGGAGGTTTGCCCGTTCAGATGAACTGTCCAGACACCGACGAACCCACACAGGTGAGAAGAAGTTCGCCTGTCCCATGTGTGACCGGCGGTTCATGAGGAGCGACCATTTGACCAAACACGCCCGTCGCCACCTGTCAGCCAAGAAGCTACCAAACTGGCAGATGGAAGTGAGCAAGTTAAATGACATTACCCTACCTCCAACCCCAGCTCCCACGCAGTAATAGACGGATGGTGAAGAATCAGACTAACTTTAACTTTGGTCACAGCCAGAAGCCAGTGGTGATAGAAAAATGCTTCCACTGCAGGTCTGTGGCCCTCCAGTGTGGGCTGCAAGCAGAAGCCCCACGGCCTGGGGAGAAGGCCCAGCCTGGGTTAGATGGTAAGAAGTGCTGCGGCCACAGGCAGGTCACCGAGTGGCAGGACTAGTTTCTTACCACATAAGAGAGAGAAGAAAGCTTTTATTCAATATTTTTTGAAGGTTTCAGGTGAGGTCACCCCAACCACCGGTAGCACAGATTTTGAATTTGTGTGCACAACTTCTTGTTTTACTTTCACCATTTATACTTGAGACCAACTTTTCAATGTGATTCTTCAAAAGCACTGGTTTCAAGAGTATAGAGACTGGAAAACATTACGGTACAGAGATGGAGATGTAAAATTGGTTTTGTATTATCACGAATATTATTATCCTTTCCTAGAGTTACTTTGTTTACTATTCTTAGTCTTTCCATTCAACTTGTGGATGTAGTTGTTAAATATATCTAGAACTAGCATTTTTACACTAGTTGCTGATGTTTGGAATTGAGCAACTGTATATTGCTGAAGAGGTCCCAAAGAATTGGAATCCTCATTAATTTAATTGCTTTGAAATGTAGCTTCAATTTTTTCTTGCGTTTTTGTTTTAAAAGTTCAACAAATGACTATTACTAGGTATTTTATTATGCTTTGAATCTTAGTTGGTTGCAGTTTCTTGTATAGATGTGAAAATTGTATACCAATGTGTTTTCCATAGACTCTAAAATACACTGCACTTTGTTTAGAAAAAAAATTGAAGATGAAAACATATTGTAAAGAAGGGATATTAAGGATTTTAGATAACTCCTTGAAAAAGATGGCTTAGGTCATCAGTAAAGTACCCTTATGTTATGAGGATATAACATGTGCTTTATTGAATTAGAAAGTAGTGACCATTATTCACAAATGGATAAATGTCCTGTTAATTTATAGAAGTTTTTTTTGGGGGGGAGGGGAGAATGTGGAACAAGATAGGTAGAAAAATAGAACATTCACTTTTGTTAACAGTATTTCTGTTATATTCTGTTGTGTAGTGGATGGTATACCCAGTGGTAAAACAAAAGTCAATTGTTGAAAATATGTAGTGAAAAATGTCACTATGTCTTTCCATTTAACGTTTTTCTCTATATTGGGTACAGATTTCTGCTATCAAAACTTTGGACCCTTGGAAAACAAAAAGGAACTTTTAATTAAAAGAAATCCTTGTGATTTACAATTTGCACAATATTTCTTTTGTTGTACTTTATATCTTGTTTACAATAAAGAATTTCCTTTGGTATATATAATTGGTTGATTGTATTTATTGAAAACTATTTTCACTTTAACCTTGATGTTGATCACTGTGGTGCTAAGATTTACGATTAATTTCTCTTAAGAACCTCATTCAAAATTGAGGTTTTTGAATGCAGGAGTTTCTCTTTCACATGAGTAATCAGATTGGTGAGTATGCAGAGCAAGGACAGGGAAGTCCCTGGTGGTCAAAAGGTTAGGATAGGACTTGGCACTCTTGCCAAGGGCCTCGGTTGGGGAGCTAAGATCCTGCAAGCCACCTGAGGTGGCCAAAATAATAATGATAAAATCTATTTAGAAAAAAAAAGATATCTACCTATATATTTGTTGATAATATGTGAGCCTACTTTTTCTAAGAAAGCAATCCATTTTACTCTTTAAAAATTTTTGTATGTTTTGGTGATTTGGGGTTGAAATACAGCCCCAGCTTTCCCTAAAACCTTAAGTGGCGCTGAGTGAGAGAACACCACAGTGAGTAATTACAAGTAATGAGACTGCTGTAAAATGAAAAGAAGGCCGACCTATTAAATAGTATATTACTCACCTCTGGAAGTTAGATTAACTCAGACCATTAAATGAGAGCTTAAATGCAATAAGCGTACCAGCATTTAAGCTGCATGAAAGCTAATGAAAAGATGCACTCGCTAGTCACTCATGAGTACAACTAGGAGATGTAAATGCCACTCGGTGTATAGTGTATAGTTTTGGAGATTAGTACTTTAATTTGCTCTGAGATCACCTTGTCATGAGACAACATCTTCCACAGTATTCAACTTAACTGGCTGACCTGGTCTGGCTTTCTGCTGAGTCCATGGTGAGGGGCAGTGTGCTCACTTGGCACCAATTGTAGGACAGGCATCCTGACCCCTCCAGGCACCTGCTGCTACTTTTCCAGGAAACTTACACCAACTAAGCTCAGTGCAGCTGCTGGAGGGTGCCTTACCGTTGTGTAGTGTCTTGTGTTGGGACCTGCACCATCCTAATCCCTAGAGTTCCTCAGGGTGGCAGGTCTTCAGAAGTGGGAAGAGAGGGAGATGGCTGAAGTATTCTCTGCCTGGCCCAAAGCCAGTCCGTGGTAATGACAAAGCCAGTGGAACTGGGCCACCCATTGGTATATTCTGCCCAATCCTAGTTGACACCTGACACTTTTCCTTAGAAATCTTGTAAATCAGATTATTTGAATTAAGTATTATCTTTGAGTTCAATGTTGATGCAGACTCTGGTCTTGTGCAAAAGTTGCCCCCAAACAAGTGTCATTTGTAGCTTGTTATGATAATGTGGTATTAAGAGTAGCTTTGTGCTGTACTTAGTTGCTCAGTTGTGTCTGACTCTGACCCCATGGGCAGTAGCCCACCAGAATCTCCTCTGTCCATGGGGATTCTCCAGGTAAGAATACTGGAGTGGGTTGCCATGCCCTCCTCCAGGGGATCTTCCCAACTCAGGGGTCAAACCCAGGTCTCCCACATTGTAGGCAGAGTCTTTACTACCAGTGTCGCTTTCAGTTCAGTTTAGTTCAGTCACTCAGTCGTATCCAGCTCTTTGCAACCCCATGAACCACAAAACACCAGGCTTCCTGTCCATCACTAACTCCCGGAGTTCACCCAAACCCATGTCCATCAAGTCGGTGATGCCATCCAACCATCTCATCCTCTGTCCTCCCCTTCTCCTCCTGCCCTCAATCTTTCCCAGCATTAGGGTCTTTTCAAATGAGTCAGCTCTTCACATCAGGTGGCCAAAGTATTGGAGTTTCAGCTTCAAAAAAAGTCCTATCCTGGAGAAGGAAATGGCAACCTCCAACACCACAGTTCAAAAACATCAATTCTTTGGCGCTCAGCTTTCTTTATAGTCCAACTCTCACATCCATACATGACCAATGGAAAAACCATAGCCTTGACCAGACAGACCTTTGTTGACAAAGTAATGTCTTTGCTTTTTAATATGCTGTCTAGGTTGGTCATAACTTTCCTTCCAAGGAGTAAGCATCTTTTAATTTCATGGGTGCAATCACCATCTGCAGTGATTTTGGAGCCCAGAAAAATAAAGTCAGGCACTGTTTCTACTGTTTCCCCATCTATTTGCCATGAAGTGATGGGACCAGATGCCATGATCTTAGTTTTCTGAATGTTGAGCTTTAAACCAACTTTTTCACTCTCCTCTCTCATTTTCATCAAGAGGCTCTTTAGTTCTTCTTCACTTTCTGCCATAAGGGTGGTGTCATCTGCATATCTGAGGTTATTGATATTTCTCCCAGCAACCTTGATTCCAGCTTGTGCTTCATCCAGCCCAGCATTTCTCGTGATGTACTCTGCATATAAGTTAAAAAGCAGGGTGACAATATACAGCCTTGACATACTCCTTTTCCTATTTGGAACCAGTCTGTTCCATGTCCAATTCTAATTGTTGCTTCCTGATCTGCATACAGGTTTCTCAAAAGGCAGGTCAGGTGGTCCGGTATTCCCATCTCTTTCAGAATTTTCCACAGTTTATTGTGATCCAGTCAAAGGCTTTGGCATAATCAATAAAGCAGAAATAGATGTTTCTCTGGAACTTTCTTGCTTTTTTGATGTTCCAGCAGATGTTGGCAATTTGATCTCTGATTCCTCTGCCTTTTCTAAAACCAGCTTGAACATCTGGAATTTCACAGTTCACGTATTGCTGAAGCCTGGCTTGGAGAATTTCGAGCATTACTTTACTAGCATGAGAGATGAGGGCAATTGTGCGGTAGTTTGAGCATTCTTTGGCATTGCCTTTCTTTGGGATTGGAATGAAAACTGACCTTTTCCAGTCCTGAGGCCACTGTTGAGTTTTCCAAATTTGCTGACATATTGAGTGCAGCACTTTCACAGCATCATCTTTTAGGATTTGCAATCGTTCAACTGGAATTCCATCACCTCTACTAGCTTTGTTCATAGTGATGCTTCCTAAGGCCCACTTGACTTCACATTCCAGGATGTCTAGCTCTAGGTGAGTGATCACACCATCATGATTATCTGGGTCATGAAGATCTTTTTTGTATAGTTCTTCTGTCTATTCTTGCCACCTCTTAATATCTTATGCTTCTGTTAGGTCCATACCATTTCTGTCCTTTATTGAGCCCATCTTTGTATGAAATATTCCCTTGGTATCTCTGATTTTCTTGAAGAGATCTCTAGTCTTTCCCATTCTGTTGTTTTCCTCTATTTCTTTGCATTGATCACGGAGGAAGGCTTTCTTATTTCTCCTTGCTATTCTTTGGAACTCTGCATTCAAATGGGCATATCTTTCCTTTTCTCCTTTGCCTTTAGCTTCTCTTCTTTTCACAGCTATTTGTAAGGCCTCCTCAGACAACCATTTTGCCTTTTTTGCATTTCTTTTTCTTGGGGATGGTCTTGATCCCTGTGTAGCTTTGGTGTGTCATATTTGGCTGTTTCCTGTATGATTTATATACTGAGTTGAAGTATTTGAAATTGCTGGTATTCAGCTCTCTTGATGGTTAATTCTTTAAAAAAACAAAACAAAACAAAACAACATGGCTGCACCTCATCTTGGTTGCTGCCGGTGGGTTTTCTCTAGCTGTGAGCGGGTGATACTCTATAATTGTGCTCAGGCTTCTCGTCGCAGTGGCTCCTCTTGTTGCAGAGCATGGGCTCTTGGGCAC